GTTTTTAACTTTGATACATTCTACCCTTCAACTCTTCATTTCCTCAATTGGGTCCCTCATCTTCTTTTCTTTCATCTTCTTTTTCTAATCTTCTTCGCAACATCCCTTTTTGCTCATAAATCTACATGAAAAATGAAACAAAAGATATGAGGAAAACATAAACACAAACATAAAAATAAAAATAGAACTAAAAATAAAATAAAATTTTATTGAAAATTTGAGTTATGACAGTTGCCCCTCTTTTTTTTTTTTTTTTTCTGTTAAGAATGAAAAGAAAAGACTAGAATTAACTTAAATTTTCAACTCTCTCTCTCTCTTTTTTTTTTTTTTAGTTAAATAGGTAAAATAAAACACTTCAAATGACTGAATAAGTAAAATAAAAACAGTTAAGAAACTGCAACGGTCGAATGACCGAACAAGTAAAGTAAAACGGCCATGAAACCGCAATGGTCGAATGACTGAACAAGTAAAGTAAAACGGTTAAGAAACCGCAATGGTCGTATGACCGAACAAGTAAAGTAAAAACGGTTAAGAAACTGCAACGGTCGAATGACTGAACAAGTAAAGTGAAAACGGCTATGAAACCGCAACGGTCGAATGACCAAACAAGTAAAGTAAAAACGGTTTTATAACCGCAACGGTCGAATGATCGAACAAGTAAAGTAAAAATGATTTTATAACCGTAACGGTCGAATGACCGAACAAGTAAAGTAAAAACGGTTAAAAAACCGCAACGGTCGAATGACCAAACAAGTTGATCTTAAGTGAGTTGATCTTAAATGATTTGATTTTCAATGAGTTGATCTTAAGTGAGTTGATCTTAAATGACTTAATCTTAAATGAGTTGACTTTAAAATTTGAGTTGCAACAGTTAAACGATTGAGCAAGTTGGGTAGCTACGGTCAAACGACCAAGCAAGTTGGGTAGCAACGGTCAAACGACCGAGCCAATTGAGTAGCTAAGGTCAGACGACCAAGCCAATTGAGTAAGTTGATCTTAAACAAGTTTTAGCTGAGTTGATCTTAGATGAATTGATTTTAAACAAGCTGATCCTAAATAGTTAAGAAACTGCAATGGTCGAATGACCGAAAAAATTGATATCAAAATGGCTAAGAAGCCACAACAATCGAACAACTGAGCAAGTTGAGTGGGAATGAGGCCGAGATGATGATAAACGCGGCTCAGGGGCCAGAGGAAAGTAATGTTTGCACGTTCTGTGATAATGAAACAAGTGCAAGCGAGACAATTTTCACATAAAAGATAATGCAAAAATGAAGAAAGGTTAAGAAACCTCCCTAAACATATTAGATGTTCATATTTGGCAGGAATCTAGTGTCCTTCAGGTTGTGTGTTCATCAACATGTGATCATCTCTATGCAATAGTTGAGTAGATTCACATTCATGTGTACTTTATCGAACGTTAGAGGTAGAATCTCATTTGTTTCCCATGAGGAGATATCTAAAAATATTGCCCCAATAAGTTGAACTTTCGTTTGCTATTGGAGTTTCAGCTAGCATGGATAACTCCTTATCTATCGAATTCAGCTTCCTTTCTCCCTGTAATTCTCATCCAACCTTTCAGATTAATCAAGAGATTTTGATTAGAAAAACAATTATATTAACTGAAATAGAGCCTCATGTTTAACTAGTATTCCCAATACTGAACAAAAGGTAAGGTTGGAGTAAAATGTGAACAGAATAATGGTAAAGATTCATTTCACTATATTCAAGCAAGGTCAGGATGATCAAAAGGTCAACTCTCTTTAATAGCAAGAAGAAATTTAGCTAATAATATAAGATTTTGATGCAACTGGTTACAAGATATTCACCCTAACAAGTGTACTAGTCGCTCCAAGTAATATAATGATGAGAGAGTGTCGAACCCACGAGGATTGTGTCTAACTAAGTACCAAAATAATTAATCCAAATTTATTTGAACAACCAAATGGGAAGAAAGTTTAACTAAAAAAATAATAAAAGGAAAATAACAATTAAATTAAACCTAACCAAGATATGAGATACTAAGGCATTGACTTCACCATAATCAATCAATATAAATTCTGGATTAATATACTTTCAAAACCAATTTATTAAGTGTTATTGCATGTGATGGCGGATTTCCCTAAATTAATTAACTAGCTTTCTCAAGTCAAGTTAATGCTTCACTTGTTTGTTAAATTAATCATATCGCTATGTAATTTTAAACAAACTTATGAGCATTAAATTCTATGGAAACCTCTAGCTTAAGAAGGGGGAGCTCCTAACTCTCTTCTCTTCCTCCACTACCACATGTGAGTTAATTACCTCTCGGTCTCATAGTCTAGCACACGGTTTATATTATTATTGGTTTAATCTACGTAATTCTTTCTCAAGTTCATGCATAAATCACTAAATCAATTGAAAGGTGATCAGAATTCCAATGCATTAAGTTCAATAATATAAATTCCTCATGCAAATAACTTTAATTGAAAGTATAAAATCACTAAATCCATATTGAATTGATTAGGCTACATCATAACCCTAGTAGAATAAATCAGTTCATAATAAAAATAATAAAATCTGATATCACAATTATGAACACAAAAATATATAAGGAAAAACAAAACCTAATTTGAGGTAATTGAAATCTTTGATCTTTTGTTGATGGATCCTCTATTTTGACCTCCAAGGGTGCCCCAAAAGAGGGCTGCCACCAGCCTCCCAAGGCTCTCTTAATTTTGAATTTGGATGGATATTTATAAGATTTTAGAAACCCTAATTGAAATAGAAGTAGGACTTGGAACAGAAATAGGAAACTGAATTTTGGATGCTGATCGCATGGTGTTGACACTTCAGATTACGTGTTGACACAAAATAGGAATCAGAGTCTGATTCTGGACTTTTAACGCATGGTGTCGACACCCCGATTATGTGTTGACACTACGCCTATGTCGGGTTTTTGGTCTCCTTTTGCAATTTCTTCAATAGCAAAATAGCATATTTGGTTCCTGACTTCTGGATTCTGCACAAGTTGATCCTCAAGTCTCTGATCTCTTCAATTTACTTCTGAAAAGTTGGATTTCTTCTGATTAAATCCTTTTCTACACAAAGAATGAAAATCATGTAAAATCAAACAAAATCCCATAAAACTCATCCAAATATCAATAAAATCAAAGTAAAAATTCCCTATTAATATGTATATAAATTTAGCTCATCAATATTCAAACCATAAATCATTGCTTCGGATCATCTTTTTTTTTTGTAACTCTGCCCATCAGTCTTTTAGTCCAATTGAGTAGATTCAAACCATGAATATTGACACTTCAAAATTTTCCCCTTCCATGAACTAACTCTCGTGCTCAGAAGAAAGAAGTTTGCAACTGTCACTACCCGGAGCCTTGGTGCTTCTTTTTTTTTTAATGTATGCCCCTTGACATAGAAAGCTTCAAATCTTCAAATAAGGACTTTCATAGGCTTGTAACATGGCTTGGGTTAGGTTATGGTGAAAGAAAGGATAAAGGCTCAAAATCCATATATTCCCTTCACATTCCTCTCTTCACTTCCCCGATTATTAATGTGGGTTAATAGAAAGAATATCATTCTAGCTTTTGTAAATTTGAATGATTACCTTTTTTTTGGCTCAAAAGGGGTAAGCAAAAAGGCAATTTTCAACTGTTTAAGGTAAAGAAACAATGCCTTTTATCATTAGATTTCCAACTTTCTAAGTCAAGGAAACATTTAATTTGTTAGGCTGCCCTTTCAGGTTTTCAACCTAACCTCTCTTTTTTTTTTTCTTCTTTTTTTTTTCTTTTTTTTATAGCAATAATACTTTTTAATAGCATCGTCATTTATTGGGTGATGATAATCAATTCCATCTGGATATCTCAACAAGAGTGCTCCTCCGGAGAAAGCTTATTTAACAACATAGGGCCCTTCATAGTTTGGTGCAAATTTGCCCCTAGGGTCCCTTTCATTTGGCATGATCTTCCTCAAAACAAGATCTCCTTGATGAAATACTCTAGGTTTGACTTTCTTGTTGTAAGCTGCTGCCATTCATCGCTGATAGCATTGGCCATGACAAAGAGCTGCCAATCTTTTCTCATCAAGCAAGTTGAGATAATCGATCTTTTTTTGAATCAAGTCTTCTTCATCAATCCTTGACTCGGATAAGATTCTCATAGAAGGGATTTCTAGCTCAATTGGTAATACTCCCTCCATTCCATATACCAAGGAATAAGGTATTGCCCCAATTGAAGTGCGAACAGAGGTTCTATAAGCATGGAGAGCATATGGCAACATTTCATGCCGATCTTTGTAAGTGACTGCCATTTTAGCTAGAATCTTCTTGATGTTCTTGTTGGCAGCTTCCACCGCACCATTCATCTTTGGTCAGTATGGAGAAGAGTTAAAATGCTTGATCTTGAATTGCTTGCATAGTGCATTCATCATGTCATTGTTCAAATTGCTTGCATTATCCGTAATGATGGCCTTTGGTTGTCCATATCTGCAGATGATCTTTATTTTGATGAAGCGAGTGACCACCTTTTTGGTAACACTAGCATAAGATGTCGCTTCTACCCATTTGGTGAAATAATCAATAGCGACCAAGATAAATTGGTGACCATTAGAAGCTTTAGGATTAATTGCCCCAATCACATCAATGTCCCACATGGAGAATGGCCAAGGAGTGGACATATTATGCAGTAATGAAGGTGGAGCATTAATATGATCAGCATAGATTTGACATTTGTGACAAGCTCGTGCATATTTGATGCAGTCATGTTCCATAGTCGACCAATAATACCTGGCTTGGAGAATCTTTCTAGCAAGCATTCTTCCATTTGCATGTGTCCCACATATCCCTTCATGGACCTCAGTCATGACTTGTTTTGCTTCTATTTCATCGACACATCTTAACAAAGTCATATCAACAAAATGTTTATACAGTGTATTGCCATTCAAGAAGTATGTAGCTCCCAACTTTCTGATTGTCTTCTTGTTCACTTTAGAGGCATGAAGAGGATATTCCCCATTTTGCAAGAACTGTTTAATATCATGAAACCATGGTTTGTCATCAACCTTGATTTTCATGCAATGTGCCAGTTTTTGACTAATTTCAATCATCAAAGGCTTGATTATGTCATTGCTAGAGATTTGGATCATGGAGGCTAAAGTTGCCAAAGCATCCGCAAATTGGTTCTTGGCACGGGGCATATGATTTAAGGAGATGAATCTGAATTTTCTTAGGAGAGTTTCGAGGTATTGGTGATAGGGAATAAGTTTTGGATCCTTGGTTTGCCATTCTCCATTTGTTTGGTAGATGATTAGTGCTGAATCACCATATATCTCCAAATCTCAAATATTCATATCCAAAGTAGCATGCATTCCGGCAATACAAGCCTAATATTCAGCTATGTTGTTGGTACAAGCAAAATCAAGCTTTATAGCAATAGGAAAATGATCGCCCTTTGGAGATACCAATACTGCTCCAAGGCCACAACCAAGCTGGTTAACAGCTCCATCAAAGAAGAGATTCCAATTATTTGAATCAGATTCTGCCTCCACTGCCAAAATGTTTTCATCAAGAAAATCCCAATCAATAGGCTCATAATCCTCTGCCGCATGTTTGGCTAAATGATTTGCAATGGCTTGCCCTTTGATGGCCTTTTGTGTGGTGTAAACAATATCAAATTCGGAAAGAAACATATGCCACCAAAAGATTCTTCCAGAAAGGGTAGGTTTTTCAAAAATGAATTTTATGGGATCCATTCTTGAAAGTAGGTAAGTGGTGTTGGTTAACATGTAGTGGCAAAGTTTCTTGGATGTCTAGTCTAGGGCACAGCAAGTTTTTCTAAAGGTGAGTATTTACTCTCACAATCATTGAACTTCTTGCTCACATAATAGATGGCTCTCTCTTTCTTGCCTGAGTCATTATGTTGGATAAGGACGGCTGCCATGGATTTTTCAAGGACCATGATATGTAGGATGAAGGGCCTTTTATCAGTTGGAGGCACAAGGATTGGTGGGTTTTTGGGGTATTCTTTGATTTTGTCAAAGGCTTGTTGGCATTGGTCATTCCAGGTATGAGGGTTTTCTGAGGAGTTTGAAGATAGGAGGCTCACAAATGGTGGTGAGGTTGGCAATCAAACGGACAATGTAATTAATTCTACCCAAGAAACTTTGAACTTCTTTTTGGTATTTTGGTGGTGGCATTTCATCAATGGCTTTTATTTTGGTTGGATCAATCTCTATTCTTTGGCGGCTCACAATGAAGCCAAGTAGCTTTCCCGAATCCACATCAAAAGTACATTTAGTAGGATTGAGTCTCATTTTGTATCTTCTAAGGCGTTCAAACACCTTCTTGAGATTTTCTGTATGTAGCATCTCTTCTTTGGACACAATCACCATGTCATAAACATATAGCTCAACAATGGTATGCACAAAGTCATGTAATAAAGTAATCACAAAGCATTGGTATGTTGCCCCGACATTTTTGAGTCCAAAAGGCATAACTTTGTAGCAAAAGGTACCCCATTGAATGATGAATGTAGTCTTGAGCTCGTCCTTCTCCTTCATTCTTATATGATTGTACCCAGAGTAACCATCAACAAAAGAGAACCGAGCATTTTTGGTAGCATTATCTAACAGAATTTGGATGTGAGGCAATGGGAAATCATCCTTGGGGCTTGCTTTGTTCAAGTCTCTATAATCCACACAGACTCTGACTCGGCCATCCTTTTTCATTACAGGAACAATATTGGCCACCCATTCCGAGTCCATAACTACTTCAATGAAATTGACATCTAGCAGCTTTTGCACTTCTTCTTTGACTTACAATAGAACCTCTAGCTTCATCCTTCTTAGCTTTTGCTTGATTGATTTGGCCTCAGAATAGAGTGGAATGGCGTGAACAGTAATATCAGGATCTAATCCTGGCATGTCTTTGTAGGACCAAGCAAAAACATCTTGGAATTCATATAAGAGTTCAATTAATTCTTTTCTTTCCTTTGAAGATAGATGAGCATTAATGTTTATCTCTTTTCTATCATCCTCAGTACCCAGATTAATGGTTTCTGTCTCTTGATTTGGTTGCAGCTTTGGTTTTTCCTCTTTTGGCATTTGAGTTAGTTCATGAGAAGGATCAAGATTTTCATTGTCTTCTTCATTATAGGTCTGATCATCAATCTCATATATAAAGTCTGATATGGTGTCATTGTTTAAAGATTCGTCATTAGCAGGCCTGAAAATTTAGATGGAAGTAAATAAATGGCCAAATGATAATAAAGCAAAGATAGGAACATGTTACTAGATAACCTCATAAAATATATCATTAAAGAGTGGCTTGTATAGTGAAAGTTTAACTAAAGTTGCTTCATGATGATTTTTACAATGATAGGTAGGATTGCAACATGTTTCATTGAAAAGGAAAGCATGGGAATACTAGAAGCATGATAACATAAATTTCAGAAAATATAAAAGTGCTTGTTGAATCCCTCCCTTCATGTAGTCACAAGCAGAACTACTAAAGGCTAACTCTTCTTACTCAGAGATGAAAGCTACAGGGAGAAGTTCTACTGTCCAATTAGCCTGAGAGCTTCCATTGACCAGAGAGCTTCCATTGACCAAAGAAATTCCCCTATCAAATTCCGGTCTTTCCTCATCTAGGGCATATAGTCAAATTTCCCTATGAGTCACACAGTGATTCTTCTTTCACGGTTTCAAAGAGCATAGACTCATGTGAACCCATTGGAGTTTTTGCATGATGCACAAGATGGAAGTTGGGGTGCCCCTCCATAAATACCCTTTCAACAAGCATTCTCCTCCACCTTTCCTTAGGATCTGTCATGTTGGCTGACCCAAAGAGGTTGTTGAAGTCAAAACAATCTTCCTTATCATTAGAACATACTTCATCAGTGATATCTTCCACAACCACCTCCTCGAATTGTGCTTGTTTTGAACATTCCCCAATTTCAGGCGGTTCGCTAGTGACAACAATACCCCTTGGGTCTACATATAAGACATTCATATGCTTCACCACATATCCATCAAGAAAAGGGCATAAAATCTCAACAGGCCGTGGAAATGTAATTCTAATGTGCGGCACCCACATTGGTTCATTTCTCAGATCTCTCCCTTGAAATCTAGCAAGGCGCTTCTCCGCTTTAGTAGCACGCATTCTCTGCCAATCTTCCTTGTTCGGTTTGTATCCCAAACCAAAAGTGCCACAAGCTTGAATTACTTCGATAGGCTCAAGAATTCCTTTTCCATTCAATCCCAAACCCTCTCTCAACTGATAATGACATGAAAGCATGATTCTAGCAGCAACTTTAGCAGGTTTAGCCATTTCAGCCCGTTTCCCTCTTAACTTTGGATGGATATAAGAAGCAGCAGCACACTCCATTGAGTGATAAGAGGGCTCATAAGTTCCAGAATCAACTCCTAGGTATGGGATGGTTATAGCTTTTCTAATGACATGTTCATCCTCGCCATTCACAGTAACAAGGACACCATTGACAATGTATTTGACCTTTTGATGCAAAGTGGATGGTACTACTCCCGCAACATGTATCCAAGGCCTTCCAAGAAGCATATTGAAAGCAGGAGAAATGTCCATAACAAAGAAATCCACATCAAAAGTCACAGGACCAATTTCCACTAGAAGCTCAATCTTTCCAATCACACTTGTTTTTGTTCCATCAAAAGCACGAACCACTGTGTTACACTGATTCATGTGAGACTCATCCATCTTCAATTGCTTCAAAACAGTCATAGGGACCACATTCAAGGCTAACCCATTATCAATCAACACATGAGGCACATTCATCATCTTACACTGAACAGAAATGTGAAGAGCCTTGGTATGCCCATTTCCTTCATCGGGAATCTCATCATCAATGAAATTAATATAATTTGGAGCCACGATTGCCCCAACCACGGTCCCAAACTTCTGAGTATCAATGTTCTTAGGCACATGAGCCTCTTTCAAGACTCTGAGCAATGCATCAAGATGAGCCTCGGATGACAACATCAATTCTAAAACAGAAATTTTTGCAGGAGTTTTATTGAGCTGCTCAATGATGCTATACTCACTTTTCCTCAAAATATTCAGAAATTCTGCAACTTCATTTCTGACATTAGCTTCTTAGGCAATTCTTCTGGCATTTCTTCAATTCTGATGTCTTTTGATTTCAGGGCAGCCCTTCTCAATTCTTGCACTTTGAGATTCACATAACACCGACCACTACGGGTCATATTGGACACATCATTAGTTGTAGGATCCATAATGGTAACATGTTGAGGTGTGGCCATAAATGAATAAGGAATATGGCTGTTGACCATAGATGATGTTTCTCCCACGGATGGCTCACTAAGAGAGGTCTTCAAGACATAAGGCTGTTGAGAATTTTGACTGATGACTTGTGCCTTTTTAATACTCTGTAGAGTATATGGCCTCTCTTTGGTGAAGTATTCCTCAGTCACTGGTGCTATAGATTTCTCTGACTCTGGAGTAAACACAAACTTCAAAGATCCCATTGCCTGCAACTCCTCAACCTTTCTCTGAAAATCCCTACAATCTCACAAAGCATGCCCCTTCATATTAGAGTGATAAGGACACACCACAACTTCATCAATCATTACCGGCAAAACATTCAAGCTCATTGGTGCGATCAGCTGAATTAGATCATGCTCCATCAAAATGGCAAACAACTCATTAAGAGACCAAGAACTGACATTCTTCAACACGGGTTCATCAACTTCATCAAAAGCAACCATATTCATGGTGGGTGGCCCATGTGGAGGTAGAGGATTCTAAGTGATGTTTGGAGTACCCTTAGCTTCCTTAGCATCAAGCTGAAGTTTACCCTCATCAATGAGATCTTGAATCCTATGTTTCAAAGTTGCACAATATTTGGTACCATGACCCACCACATTGTGATATTCGCACCTAGCTTGTGGATCATACCAAAATGGATAAGGTGGCCGAATAGGGTTTGCTTGCACTGTCTTCATTAAACCTACTTCAACTAATTGTTTCAACACCTCACTGTAAGGGATTGGAAGTCTAGTGAACTGTCTCGGTCTATTTGTAAGTGGAAATTGTTGTCTAATAGGAGCTTGAGTATTAAAGTTTGGCCTCCTTTGAGGATAAGTGGTAGGCCTAAAGGTTGGAGTGAATTGCAATTGGGGTTGCTGATTATAAGGAACATTTGCCACATTATAAATTGGTTTGGCATGGTCAGTGAAAATATGACTTACAGCCTCCTCATCTTCTTTCTTCCCTTTGGGTGCAAACTTCTTTGAAGTAGATCTGGTGTTACTAGTCTTGACTTGCTCTAATTGCCTTTGAATGGTTTGAAAGTCCATAATAATACCTGTCTTCAATCCATCTTCAATTTGTTCACCCGCTGTCACTAACTAAGCAAAAGTATATCCCACACAAGGAGCTAACCATGCACGGCAAGTCTCGGTAGTTGACTTGATAAATAGATAGCAGATTTCGCTATCAGCAAGGGGTGGAATGACCTTAGCTGCTTCGGATCTCCACCGTTGGCCAAATTCTTTGAAGGTTTCATTACTCTTCTTGGTAACTCTCTGTAAGCTATCCCTTGTAGGAGCCAGACTCATATTGTACTCATACTGCCTCATGAAAGCTTGAGACACATCCTTGAAAGTGCGAATCTTCTTCTTGTCAAGAATGGAGAACCAAATACTTGCTGGGCCTAACAGACTGTCTTGAAAGTAATGAATGAGTATCCTCTCATCATTGGCATAAGGTGCCATTTTCTTGGCGTACATCTGCAAGTGGGCATAAAGACAACCTGAACCATCATACTTGTCAAAATCCGGCTGCTTAAACTTAAAATTTGTCTAAATTCCCTGAAAGTAGGAAAGATCATCCAAATCAATGGAACCATAAGCTTGTGGCCCTTGCATAGCCTTCAGAGCCTCTTCCAATTGTTGCAACTTGTGATCGACTTCTCTTGACTTCCCATCCTCCAAAGTAGGCCTCAATATCTCAACTAAGGGGTTGGGTTGAATAGCTGACACTTGTCCCATCAAAGGTGGTATGGCTGTGGGAAAGGTTGGGTTGTTCATCTCAAGTGGTGGGTATGAGGTTTCAAAGGGTAGAGATGATATTTGTGGAGCATGTGAAGATGACTCCCCCATTAGAGGTTGCTTCTCATAAATATGTGGAAATTGTAATTATATGACCATGGGATCTTTAGCACGATTACCCAGTGTAATGGTAGATGATGGAATAGGGATAGGTGGAACGAGTATTGCGGGTACTAAGGATGTCGGTGAAGGACCTGAACCAGTAGTCAAAGTGGACAAAGTGATATTGATGGTCTGAAGAGTAGCAGCCATAGTTTGCATTGTCGCTTCCAACTTATCAACCTCTCATCCATGGCTGATTTCTCTGGATTAATAGATCTGAGCAAATATGGAGAACGTCGCTTTTTGAAGACCTTTCGCCGTGGAGCTATGATTAGAAGAATTTTACCTAAGACAACAAAAACCAAGGAAATGCACAGTCTCCTCCAGTGATCTCTTTTCTCTTGCTATCACCTCCGGCAATCCCAAACTCAGACGAAAAAGAACAACCAAGAGAACTTTCCCTTTTCAATTTACCGGTCCTTCCTATTTATACCCCATCAAACAAAACCCTAACTCCCCTATTCTTTCCTCATCCAAACCCTTCAATTTTTCTTCTTTTTCCTTCCACCGTTGATCGGGTGAGGCCAAAACTGGCCCTATAGAATAGCCAAGAAAGCTGGAGCATGATGTCATCCTGCAGGCAAGGTAAGGACATGGTGCTCGGTTGGCTGCAGGGACAAAGGCGTAGCAGGGGGCGTGATGCAAGGCCGGTGCAGGGCGTGAGGCTAATGCAGGGGCGCGAGGCTGGTACAGGGGTGCAGGGGCAGAGGGAATTTGAGGCACAGGGGCGCAAAGAGCAAAGTGCAGGGTTGGTGTAGGGCCTGTGTAGGGGCGCAGGCTAATGTAGGGGCTGGTGCAGAGGATTGCAGCAAGCAGGGTCGTGTGCTTGGTGCAGTAGCAAAGTCAACGGCACAGAGCAAAGGGGATCTGGGCGCGGGCTTGGTGTTGGTGCGCAGGGTAGGAGATCTTTCCCTTTTTTTGTTTTCTGTTCTGCAGCC